AACAACTACAAAATGAAGCTTTTATCTGAATTGGAAACTCATGTTTTCTGAGAGGTAGAATTTTGGAGTGAGCTTTTGTGCTGTGGTTGCTAAGCATGCTTCTGCACATACCCTTTAGCAGCTGTCACAGATACTGTAGAGTTATGCAGGCAGATTGGGAGGATCTCTATATCATTCCCTAGTGTTTACTTGCCCTTAATCTCTTTTTGTAACAGTTATGAAATGTATGAAATGTGAAGCTAGAATGAAATCAATCTTTGCTGCATCCAAATGCTCTTGCATTTTATAATTTCTTCTGTTGTAACAGGCTTCTTGAAATTCCCTCACTTCATACACATACCTGGTCTGGGACATGCTCCAGCCTACGGAGATCAGAGTAATAGAATCATGGAGGATTTTCATCCCTTTGGGATTTTACCCTTTTAAATCCTTTTTTATTTTTTCCTTTTCTTTTTTTTTTCTTTAATGTTATTAGCATTTTGTAGTCATTTAGATGACATAAAAATCCTGGGGAAGTAGCCATCTTATTAATATAATACAGTAGGGAAAAGTAGGAGAGTGGGTAGCATCTATCCAGAGATTACTGACCCTTAGCTTAACTAAGATATAACTTTGACATTTCCATGATTGTGTTTTGTAACTGGGAATGGTTATGTGACTTATCAGGTCAGCTGTCATCCTTTGTTTGTGACTCAGTTCTCAGTAACTGTATAAGAAAGTTTCTCTCCAGTAAGGCAATGAGTAAGGATGATAAAAAAGGTCTTTCTGTCTACTATACAGAAGTATAGTATGTATGTGTTGTACCAGCACATAAAATGACAACTATATAGACAAATGCATGCTGGAAAAGGAAAACTCTCTGGAAAGATATTATATGATGTATCTAATTCGCAGCTCTACCTTGAGAAATGTTTATGGACACATTCTCTGCTAATTTGTGAAGAGTACCTGCCTTCTGTCTGTCTTTAAGTTTGCACTTGTCACTCTCTTTGCAAGGAAATGAAATTAAATGTGCATTGTCTTTTTTTGAGAGTACGTCACAGCCATATCTGTGGATCACTCATTCTCTTTAAATTTTTCTGAAGGAATAAGCTTCCATTAAAATAGTGGAAGATCCAAAGTGACCTTCAGGGAGTGATGATCTTAAGTCCACACTTGCGTATGTTGGGCCAAACATAGACTAGATCCAACCTCCCAAAAATTAATTACTTAATTTCAGTTTACCATTTTATGTATTAAACAAAAAAATAAGTGACTTATTTAATTTTCCAGCTGCTACTATCATCTTTTTTTTTCTGCACCTAATGATGTATTACTGTTACAGTGAAAATCTTGTATATCTTGCCAGACTGCTGATGTAATGGCTTCAAGAAAGTTAGTAGTCTACAACAATTAGTAACAGGAACCAAACCAGTCACTAACACAAATACCCCAAAATACAGGTGTTTCAACAACAAAAGCACAGGAAAGTAAAATTTATATTTCACAAAAGCTGTTCTTGTTAAAGTGAGATAGATGAAGACATTTGTTTAAAAAAATACACAAAAATCATAGCTATAGATCTCAAAATATTTAGAGGAAGATGCTTGCTATTTTAAGGATGGGATTTCTGCCCTACTATTACATATCCTATATAAAAGAAATTATTTGTTCTAATTAATTAAAAATATTGTCACAAGAACTGGTTTACCAGCTTTTACTATAAGGGGAAATGCAAGCAATTTTTTACTGTTTTTTATCAAAATATGAAATTAGGTCATGCCAGGAACAAGATTAAAGATTTGTTCAACAAAGAACAACTAAACTTTTTAATTCCTCATAAGTATCTTGTTTACAGACTAGTTAGAAACTCATCAGAATATATGTGACTCCTCTATATTGTCAGATAGTCTTGTTTTTTCATAATCTTTGTGTGTCAATAGCCTTCATAATAATCTGAATTTATGTAAAATCATGATTGTATAAATATACATGGTATAAATTTGCAAGTGTTTTTAATTTTGTTATTCAGTATGACCTAAATATTTTGCTAATGATGTGGTGTAATTCTTCTGTCAGTAGCTTTTCTGTTTGCAATAACTGAGGATGTGTAACCTAGTGATTACAGAGCATTTCAATTCAGTCACTAGATGAGAAAAAAACCAACATTTACCCTTCTCTGTTATTGTTCAAAGCTACAAACTGAAACCTCTATCTGAATTGGAAACTTAGGTAGCAATTATGGAGCACTTTACCTGCCACAGCTACAATCTGAGTCAAATGTCCTTAACTTCTTTCTAAAGAGACTGCCTCTTTAGGTGTTTTCTTTGTGGATATTCCTGTTTTTATACCTTCCCATTTCATGGTGTTTGTTTGTTTGTTTTTTGGTTTTTGGTGTTTTTTTGTTCTCATAAATGAGATGCTTTATGTCGTAGCTCTTTTTCAGCAAACAGCCAATTTATTCTATTGTGATTTCTGATAACACTATGCTCCCTGAGTACAGGACAGTATTTGTATTAGTGAAATAGACATAGTTAGGCATACAGCAGTCTAGCATAGAAGCAAAGAATTTCAGTTCTTACTGTTTATTTTACATACACACTGATTGTTGTATGTATTAAAAAAATAGTGTATTTTTTTATGTGCGTGGAAACATACTATGGGATATAGTGAAAGGAAAAGCTAAAAATATTTACTACATTTTACAAACAGCTAGGGTATTGTGAAAAGAGGTAGCTAGGATCAAGTTTCACGTGTCAAAAACAGAGAAGAAGAATAGAGGTATAAACTGAGGGTCACCTCAATATATGTCATTTGGCACATATATAGTAATAACACATGGTGCATGATCTGACAAACATATATGGCAAAGAATCTGTACCTCTTTATTCAGTCAGAAGCAGCACATCATAAGCACAAAACTGAAAAAACAGGGCTAGTGTTAAAGCAGGGAGAAGAATTTTCACAATCTAAGACCACCTACTGGGCTACAATGGAATAGTGATTTGCTAATTGCTCAGAAGATTCCAACTGTTAAGTAGATCTTTTAAAAAAGCAGTGTCAATGTTTACAGTTGATGGGATAATTTTTCTCTAGCTACAGAAAAAAACTACAGAGCCATAAAGAAAATCTGTCTTAGGATTCAGTCTACCTTTTAATTCAGAACTCTCTTCCATTAACTTCAGTGAAATTAGAGTTAAGCTTTTAATAACATGTCCTTTGGAAATTCTAGGAAAAAAGATCAATAAAATAACCAAGGATTTTCTGTTCTAAATATTAGTGATCTCTCAAGAGCAACTGAGACAGCAGATTCCTTTAATATGAGAATCTGTGGTTGATACAACTGAGTACAACAGAATCAGGCACGTAAATATTTCCTAGTGATGTTTGATTACATCAGTAGAGTGATCCTGCCTATTCACAGTATGTGATGCATAGACTCTTGACAGGTAACAATGTCTCTTACTGTATTTCTCCTAATAACTATCAGAATGTATTTCATGCAAAAAAAAAGTCAACAGAAATAAAAAAGAAAGAAGAAAAGAAGATAATTGTCACAAAATTAGGGTCTGTACTGTGTGTGTATATATATATATATATATATATATTCAGTCATACTTAAGAGAAAGAGAGGTATTTAAGTTCTGACTTCCTTTGGACTGCTAGTTAAAAAAAAGCATCAAATCATTAGTCTATGTGGTGGGGTTTAGCACTAGCTAAGAATCACCAGAGTATTTATTTTCTGATGTGATATATGGATTAGGAGAACGGCAAAACAGGTTTAAACTTAAAAGGAATAAAGAAAGTTTATTAACAGAGCTACAAGAAAAAGAAACCGGAATAAAACCTCCAGAAACCTTTTCTTCCCCACACCCAACTTTTTCCTTTCTCAACTGACAACATAGAGACAAAACTTGAAATGCTAAAAAACTGCTAAAATGTTAGCACAGAGGTGTGTTCATGGGCCATGAACTCAAGGGGCATTATTTTAGAGTTATTCAAAGGCAAAGAGTCTTCATCAACTCTCACTTCTCTCTCTCTGTTGAAGTACCTCATGGGATCACAGCTACTCCACCATCTGCTTGTCATCATCAATGGATACCTTTGCTCAGATTTACAGTTTGAATAGTTCATTTCCCCCAATAATATTTCCATTAATTAAAGGAGTTTTTCAGAACATTATTGTCCATCTCCATGGCTCTACTAAAATAATATTTCAGCTTATTAAAGCATCTCCTCATTCTCCTTCCATCTGAGGCTTGACTCTTTCTCTTACTGACCTTGATGTTTCATGTTGTCTCTTTACACGTTGATCGCTCGTGTCCTTTTTTCTCCTTGGAGAGATTAAAGTCTGCAGGTCTCATCTAGGTAGTGAAAGGGTTAAATATGACCCTAGCAGCAGCAGGTATTCATGGTGTTGTATTTCAGCTCAGCAGCACTGGAAGGCAGCAGACAGTTTTCAGCCATTTTTCATCCTGGAGCTGTCTGTGTGGGCCATGGTGGGGGGTATATCAGCGAGATGTCAGCAGCCGTGGCCAGGCCCAGCCTAGGGCTGTGGCCCCCTGAAAAAGGCTTCATCCACCCCACCGGAATAGGAGCCGGAAGGCTTCCCAGGAGGCGCCACAGCAGACCCCAGCCTGGCCTGATGGGGGGGAATCCCCACAGTCTCCATCCCCTGCCCAGGAGCTGCTGGAGTCCGGCCCAGCCTCCCCCAGGCCGTACAGGCCCGTGGGGGGGAATGGGGCCAGACACAGCAGAGCTCTGATACCTTTCAAGGCCAGAAACAAAGAGACAAGAAGGTTTGGGTTTTTAAAAGGTGGCATTCACAAAGGTGATCTTACTTTTCCGTGGTGCCAAAATGCTGTCAGTTCTCAGAACTGGCCAGCTATTGGCCTGATCTCAAGCAGAGAAGAAACTCCCAGCAGCTTCTCCCAGAGAAGTCACTTCCGTGGATGTTTCCTACTTTCTCCCTACATGCCAAACTACCACAGTCCAGAAAGTTAAGGCACACACATCATAAATTTGCATGTCATTGCTAACCATTCACGCTTAGTCCATTCTTTAATTCTTTTATAAGTTTTGTTGTTATGTAGTTAGACTGATAGTGCCACGTACATCAAATGAAAAGTTTTCTTTCAGACAAAATATTCATCAGAATTGCCACGAAGTCTACAAGTGCAGAGCCCTGTGTTGGGGCTTAGGATTCTTCCTTTTGTTTCCTTCTCTCAGGGAATCTTCTCCCATATGTGTTGCTAGGAGACAATAACGAGAGATAACTTATGAGAGATAAGAGGAGGCCGAGGAGGGAAGGGGTCCAGCTGGCTACTCTTCATTTTTTACCTGGGGGTTTCTCTGAGAAGGGTAGAGATACCACAAGGACTGGGCTGGGGAAAAGGGGTTGGGTGCAGCTCCTAGCTGTCTTGTGCTCTGGACACTGGGAGAGGAGAGAGGCTGCAGTGCCATGGGTAGAATCCACCACCACTGCGGGGTTCCGTCTCCTGCTGCCTTTCTTCTACCATGAGTGGAGATCTGCTGGTAAGAGTGGTCATTGCGCTGGGACCTTAAAAACACCCTACCTCACAAAAATTCCCCTTTGCCACCTGCTGGGGTGCCTCAGGGGAAACCCTGGCATCCCTGGGCCTCTTCCCTTCCCACTCCCTGCTGTTTCTTTGCCACTGCTCCCATTTTTCCTGCTACACTGTAGTCCTGCACCCCCTGCCTGGCAGACTATGCACACACATACTAGTAAAGAAATGTTATTCCTTTTCCTATCTCTTTGCCTGAAAGCCCCTGAATTTCAAAGTTATAAAAATTTGAAGGGACAGGGGGTCATGTCCCACTCCAAGGGAGGTTCCTGCCTTCCTTGGCAGACATCTGTCTTTCAAATCAAGGCACTCTGATGTTTGGGACATCATTACATCTAAGAGAAGAGATATAGGACAGTGTTCCCTTGGAGCCCAAATTGCATCTCTGTGCTGTTATCTGTGCATATTTTTTACAGTATATTCTTTATCAGATATTCCTATATATCAATAACTTGCTGATTTCTGTAGAATATAAGAAATGTTTTTCTGAGATGCTCTTAACTTCATTGACATCCATTGGACATTGTGGACAATAATAAGTTTGAAAAATCTGTTTCAATTCCACATATAGTTCTACACATACATGGCATACATAGTATATGTGTGTATCTTTTCTCCATTGTGAGGAAAATGTATATAATATACTTGAAACAGAAAGTTTTAAGCCATATGATGTGATCACAATAATTTAAGACAAATGACAAAATGTAATTTGCCTCTCAAAAAAACCCCAATCCACTAAGCTGAAGATGAAAATTTTAGGGGAAAGTCAAGAAAAAATTGTTAAAACATACAAAAAAAAAAAAAAAAAAAAAAAAAAAAAATCATAGGAGAACAGAGTATGATCCTCAAGGATCTTTGGGGTCTTCATATACAGTGAAATGCTCTAATGAAATTTATGGGTAACTGATAGGTCATTTTTTTTCTTCAGGACCAACTTAATGACAGAGAGACTGCTTTTGTGATTTGGCTCAGTTGTTTCTTCCTCATCTGCATTACGTATTTATAGACAGTGAAGAACTATATACACTAGGCTAACAAGCTACAAAATGGAGAGTGAAATATCTCTTCAAGGTCTTTTAAGTCTCAACTTGCCCAATAATGAAATGCCAAGTAACTTATTTTCACTTATAGCCCAATAACCAAACACCTGCGTTCTGCAATGCAGATTCTTTCATCCAATCACCCAATATTACCTAAAAACCCTAAAAGAAGAAGATGAAGAAGAAGAAGGAGAAAGGGATGATGTCCTAAATCCTCCATGTTGTCTTTTATTCGCTAATATAGCTTAAACCCTAAACTTTAACTTTCTCACCCAGTGACTTAATAAAATTCTATCTAACTTACACACATTCTCAGTTTCTTCACTTAGTTTTAGGAGTTTTCTCATGGTTTCAGGTTGAACTCAGTGTTCTCTGGAGTGTCTGAAACTGCCAGCACAGATACAGAGATATTCTCTGTGCCTCTGACTCCAACACTTTGTTAAAGATTTTTATTAAGTGAAATTAGTACTTCAGTCTTTAATATGTAGACATGGTGGAACTAGAACAAATATCACAGCTGGGGGCAGTTAAGCTGATCACCATCCTGAAGGCTGGCGACTGTGTTGCAACCTGCAGCCAATGATTTTGGCTGCAGGACTGTGACATACACGTCACTACCACTCAGACTGAAGAGTCCAGACCTTGAAAATATTCCGTATTTTTTTCCTCAAAACCTAAAGCTGAGTTTTCAGTTTAGCATATAGAATTTAAGGCATAAATATTAAAGTGTACACCTTCAGCTGGAGTGTCCACCTAATTTTGTCAGAAAATATGAATTATCAGAGCAGATGAAAGTGGCAGACTCCCCTTGTGATTTGTGTTCTTAGGTCCAAACTGAAAAAGAGCTCATAAGGTATTGTTTTACTTACAGAAACCTTGGGAAAAGCTTCACTATAAAGTCTGATAATCAGCTAATTTCCTTTGCATCTTAAACTTTTCACAAGGCTTGATTAACATGCTTTAATGATAATCCCTTAAAACTAGGTGGGACGGTGTGTCTCATGGTTCCAAGATGTGTAAATTAAAGAGCAAAAACTGACTGTATCAACTTTAAGAGGATTTGTCCTTTTGGCAACTGCACTATTTAGTTCAGGGTACTTGTAATTTGATTGATTCAGTATTTGAAGTTACATTTTGATTATGATTTGAAAATCCAGTCATACAGTTTTGTAGTTTAGAAGAGTTTAAAATAGTGAGATTTTGCCTTTACATTGAGACCTTAGGTCAGGATTCTGCACATCTAAAGACAAACTACTATCTGCTTACATCTAAGTTAAGTTTTACAGCTCTAGAAGTTAAAAAGAGAAATTTTAATATGTATTCAGTATTTTCTCAAATAGTGTCAAAAAATGGTGCACAGATAATTTTTCATTTAATCTACATAAATATTATCAAAGAAAAAAGGACTTTTAGATATTGTAGGATACTACTCATCTTTACTTAGATGTAAACCCTTGCCAACTTCTGAAAATGTATCTGGATGTTGACTGGTGATAGGTGGCATGCTGTGTCTTCTCTATCTTGTAAAATTCCTTCCAACTGTGATTATGCCACATATTTTCTCATGCTCTTTTGAAGTTTCCAATGTACCTACAGGGAATAAATATTATTTAGTGAGATTGTAAACTGTTCTTGTTTGTTTCAGTGGGAGATGTGAGAAACACAAATTGTTTCTTTGAAAAAACAACTCTTTGAAAAACATGAATAAGTTAGTCTCCTTCTGTGCATTTGCTTTGTTGTCCTACTTGTAAAGACTATGAAAAGGATATTTCTGAAGCACTAGGTGGCTTTTTCTTAATACTGCCCTTAAGGCTTATGCACGCTGGTGGAAGGCTTATTCTAAAAATAACAGAACTGAATTTACATAAACTTTTGTTCTACCACTTAGGTCAGCCATGAATGGATCATTTCTTCCTGCAATAGTTTATGATATGGGTTTCAAGTCTTTCTTTCAGTTAGATTCTGTTGCTTTGAAGGCTTAACATCTTTTATTTGTGCAGCTTTGAGACCTATCAAGAACCCCTTCAAGGCAGTCAGTTTGTAAAGTAAACACAGAGCAACTGGGCTTTACAAAAGCGATCTTTTTCCCTCAGCTCATCTTTCTTCTATTTTGAAACTGAATCTGATGAAATCTGATCTCATCATATACTCCTGCTTCCCCATAGCTGGGAAATTGTTCTTAATTGCTCTTCAAGACCAGAAGTACATACTTGAGCCAAAACTTTTATATCAAGGTGCCATTTGTTAACTAACAACTTTGAAGTAATTTCTAAGCATTCATAACTGTAAGCTGCTTTCTATAAAATGTCTCTTCCTAAAGCATCAATCATACATATATAACACTTTGAAATATCTGCTGATATGAAGTTTTACAGAACATGGATAAATGCTTAAACTCAAATTAAAGATAAAGAATAATAGCAAAGTTCTTCGCTGACTGTTTTATCACAGTGCAGTCCAATGCTAAAATACTACATATAGAGTTCTCAGAATGTTTCAGATTTATTACTTTCTCTTTCATCAGTTTTCTTCTTAGTAACGTTGGATGGAAAACAAGGGTTCTGGTTTTCTATCTAAACTTGGAAGCTTTGAAAATTTCTGTTCTGCAATGAAATGACTGAGAGATTTATTTTCCTTGAAACGGTCTCCTTCAGAGAGAAGACTGATGATAACAAAATGTAAAGTTTTCACAGTTTTTTTTCTGGGATATGGAGTATTCATAACTTGTCTTTCTATATCTCTTGATAACTTGAGTATTACTCATCATAAATTTGTTATTTGTCTGGCAAAGTATATCACTTGTCTTTGAACAACCAGCCCATCTTGATCAGGAGAGCTTCTCATAAAAGTTATTTCAGAAAAAAACAGAAATTAAACTTTAGTTAACATCCCCACACACATCCCCTGCCCCAAATCCAGGAACAATTTTTTTATTCACTGTTAAACATGAGTGGCTTTTGCATAGGTGATATACTTAGTAGAAAAAATTTAATTTAACAGTTTGTCTATTATCAAGGATTTAAAGAAAATTTGTATTTAATAATAAAGCCCATTACCTATTACTGCCATTTATTTAGAAATAGCTAGCTTACAACCTGAGTTTCATTCATACCTCCAGAATATTTTGCGGGCTTAAAGAAATATACATACATTTTTAGCTAGTCTTCAGTAGTCTAAGTAAAAGTGAGTTTGTATTGTTATAATTTTGTCTACCGTCTTAAGTCTTAGAGAAATACAATTCGTAAGTTTTTCAAAGAGTTAAACAAGTTACTTTAAGTTAGGTTATAGTTTATTACGTTTTATTCGGGTGTACAACACAGTGGAGAAAAAAGAATTCAGAGTCTACTCATATGTAGGACATCTCACACCCTCATATCTGTCTTTATTTTCTTCATTCTTTTTTCTCATTTGGAGTTGCTACTCAAAAATTGCTGCTGTTTTGAAGACTGAGATTAAATACTTTATTCCAGCACTACCAGGTATTTATTGTCTCAGAGGTTTGGTTGGAGGACTATCCATTCCTTTTTAATTTTATACAAATAAGAGCCTACATAGGTGGGCTTGCACAAAATTAGAGGAGTCCTCCATCTGCTTTTATACTGACCCCATTTTAGAGATGGGCTAGTCTCATAAAAACTTGAGTAAGGAGAGTATTTTATCCATGGATATATCTGGACTTGAAGTCTCCATGTGGAGATGTAGATATTACTACTACAGACTTGTAAATTTTTCCCAGAAACTGGTTATGTGATACAGCCCAATCTTGCTCACAGCAAGAGACGTGGGTACAGATCTTTAGTATACATTTCCAGACTAAGCTTGAAAGTTCACTTTTCTAATATACAATTCTCCATTCAACTAGATTAGATATGTTAGAAGCATTTTAAAGCCCATTGGCAAACAAAGTTTTGGGAAAAACTTTACAATTTTAGAAATGTGTGAGATACATCCTTAAACAAATTAATGCAATACCTCAGATCTTTAAGCTAAATTCTTTTTCAAGTGGTCTGGGAAGCACTGTTGTAGAACTTGGAAGTTTCTGTGCTTTTTCTGCTACTGTTGTCAGTTTGTGTTCTTCCCAACAAGCAACTCAGAAACTGCTTGGACCTAAATGGAGAAGTAAGATCTTGGAGGCTAAAGTCATCAGCAGGGC